GCGCGTGGCGATCGGCTCCGGAGGAGCCTGGGCTGCCGCGGAGGCATCGCCTCCTGCGACACCTGCATTTGCTTCTGCTGCCCGGGGCTTGTGCAGGCGGACTCGAGTGTCTCTGTTGCCTGCCTGTTTGAGGACGAGAGTCGTGTGATGCCGGCTGCCGAGACAGAAAGGAGAGCGTTCCTTCCCCCCTGTCCTAGCCTGGTGAAAATGTTCCTAAAGCGAAATCACCCTTCCGCCCCGCCCCCAGCCCAGCCCTACCCAACCCAGTCCAACCCAAACTCCGATTCTGTTTGCAGATTCTTGCCTTCCTACTAGCAGACCGGGTGCCCCTCAAGTTATGCCCCACATCTTTTAAGTGGAAACACGAGTGGTGCCCAGTGGTGCCTGATGAGATTGTCCAGGCTGCCTGGGGACTTCTGAGTGTGGCAGCCCACCTGAACCCGCCTGAGTGGACAGGAAAAAGGGTGGTGTGGAGGAGCTCAAAGGCCGCGCGCTGGTTTACTTTTACGCAGCTGGTTTGGTTTATGATGAGGTTCGGGACTGCTTGGCTAAGCCCTGCCTTGAACTTTGGGGGCGGAGGTTGCGGGAAGAGGGTCCGCGGGTCTGGTCGGTGGGGGAGCAGCACCATGACTGTATATCTGCTGTGCACCCTGAAGTTTCCTGCAGCCCCTGGCACTGTAACCACAGCAGCCAGGTGCCCCCCTAGCTACACGCAGTGCTTCGGTTTCATTAATACCGGTTTGCATCTGGTTGTTGGGAGTGGGAAAGGAGGAGAGGGGGAGAATGAGGTGTTTTGCTGAGCTGATCTGCACGGAAATGTTCTCCAGCCCATGTTTGTGTGATTATGTAACCCCATCTAATGATCAGTTCGTTCACCCAAGCAGCTCCCCATCATCTTCCTGGCCTCCCTCGGACTAAAGAAGTTGGGTGCTACAGTTGTTTAAGATGTCTTTATGCAATTATGTGTGTGTTGGGGGCAGGGATGGTGTGAAAACAAGGAGGAATAATTTGGATTATTTGAATGTGAACACACTGGTCAATGATAATGTGTTCCTTTGAGGACAGTGTGGTGTTGGCTTTGAATTGGTGTTGCTCTCCCACATCTCTTTCAGTCACTCACAGCTTGTCTGAGCTTTCATTTGACAATTTCACCCCTCTGGACCTAGAGAAGGTTGGACCCTGGAGAAGGACCCCTTCAGGGCCCCCAGCCTCCTAACTCAAGGTAGAAAAGGAATCCTGAATGCAGAGTGATGGCCCAGGTCCCAGTGCTTTCTGCTGAGCAGTCAGTGTGGGGAAGAGTTCCTATTCCAGCAGGGTGTTTTGCCTGGGATTGGACTGTCCTCTGAGCCTAACCTCAAATGTTGTCTGAGCTATTTGTCATACACTCTTTGAAGCTGTGAAGGCTGCAGAGGCTGGAGGCCTTTTACATCCTTGCTTTAAAAGATCGTGGGAATTTTTTTCAAGGTAGACAACAGTCCCACTGAGATGTCTACAGGCAGGAGGGGAGGGTGTGTGACACTTAGCTCTGTTTCCTTCCTCCCCACTTTGTCTAGTTAAGGCACACAGTGAACTGTTAACAGGGGCCCTCCTTCATACCCATTGGGCCTATGCCTAGGGCTGCTGGGCAGATTTATTAATTTGGTGGCAAAGTCTAGCCCCTTACGGCAAAGATTGTTTTCTTGCCCTCAACAACCCAGTGGGCTTGCTTTCAGGGCCAGCTACTGCTGTGTACTGGGTGGCAGTGGATCAAGATGTGCTCAACTGGCACTATTGTTGACGTGTCTCCGCCCATTGTGTTTTAGTGGTGGTCACCCTCCTTGGAGTGGAGAAGTGTGTGCTGCCTTTGGGTCCTTGCCAAGTGAGCCGTTGAGACATTTAGTGTGTGAAAAGTACAGGCAAGAAGAAGATGCATTTAGTCTGAAGTCCTGGCAGCTTCCAGGACCCGACATGATGAAAGATAACATTAAGAAAGCTGTGTGACAACTGGATGGGGTTTAACTTGTCTCTCACTTCCTCCTCTGTGAGTTCCTTTCAGGTTCTTTTCCGCCCTCTGTGCTTCCCGTCAAGGAGGCTCTGACATGCTGTTCTTCATTCTGTTTCCGGAGGAGTCAAAGCATATTGACAAATCTACAGATTGAAGGGGCAGGCAGGACAGAAAAAACTGACTACGTTGTCAGGCAGCACTGGCATTCTGGGCCAGATGTGGCCAAAGCCCTTGACCAGTTTTGTTCTTCATCTGTTAAGTCAGTGTAGCCATTGTAGCCATACCAAGGCCACTGAAATATCTTGAGAAGAAAATGAGATCAGCTAAAAAGTAACATATGCTCTGTAGCTGATGGGTATTAGGATAATACCACAACAATCTGGATCACATTTACACAGTTTCACTTATCCAGTTGAGACCTAAATGGTAAACCAAGAGAAATGTCATAAGTCCATGAGCTATGGTTCACGAATTTTGATCACTGGAGGAAATTTTAGATCTTTTTTTCAGAACTCTGTATTTACTTAAAGTTCTAAGATGCTTGGTTATTAGTTTGTCAAATGCATCTAGCAAATTAGAAGAGATTGATAAAGTTCTTTTATCAAGCATGAGAAGTAATGATAATGCAAGAAACAGGAAAGCTAAAAAATATACAACTTAAAAGGCACAAGAATGTAAAACATGGAATTCTAAGGCTAATGTAAGTATTTAATGTGAGCAGTTTAAGGAAATGTATATTTTGATGGGTCTTAAGGACTCTGTCCTAACGCGCTAACCAATGCTCTCAATGAACCACATGTATCAAGAACAGTTTAAATTATGTTTGTGTGTCCAATTCAAGAAGGCATGAAAATTTGAAGTATCCCTTTAATGACTTGTTTAGAATGACTCTTAGGGAAAAAATACTGCAGCTATCCAGGATAACAGAGCCCCCGAGGTTTCTGGACAGCCAGGGATTTACTGGTCAAAATTATATTGCAACCATAAAGTCCAACTGTTGAAATTAATTGACAACTTCATGCTCTTTTGTCAAAATTTAGCAGGGAATTATTATGTGTTATTTTTATTATTATTAGAGATTATGTTCTAACATTTGATAATAAAGAAAATGCTGAGAAGAAAATATGTGAACTTCAACCTGTCTTGTTATGACCACGAAACACACTTGTAATTCCTCCAACTTGGTAACTTTGATGCTGGAGTTAGAAGAGACCTGATGATGGAAAAGATGGAGCAGGGGAGGTGAACTCTAGAGGCATCTGTGTGAGGAATGTGGACTCACCACTACTAGGATGATGTTCCATCAGAAAAATGAGTTCAAAATGTCATGGCCACACCCTCATGCTAAGTAATGGTGTTTACTCTGTTCAGACATTGTGCTCAAAACTAGAAGGATGTCTGAGTGACATGAACCATGCTGAGCTTGTCCTGACCTTCTGACAATTTTCTTACTTAGTTTGCCCCAAAATAAAGACGAGGAAAAAAAAAAGTAGAGGAAAATGAATGCAGACACTTTAAAGAATATTTTAAAAATTCAATACATATGTGAAAAATGTGAAGACCTAATTAAAAGTAATGAAAAGTATTAAAAGTATTGCTTAGTTTCTAGATGTACATACATTTATCATTTTAGTGCCTTATTTGAAGAATTTAAATTTGCTAAAAGAAAGTGTAATAACAGGTCATTGAATATAATCACGAATACTCAGAACTCCCCAAAGTTTCCATGTAAGCAAAACAATACTATTGTAATAAGCTGAGGAAAGCGTGTGTTCCCTGAAATCCCAGGGGGTGTGGAAGGCAGAGGAGGTGGGGTTGGTTGTGGGAAGTAACTGATTCACGCTATCCAGAAGGCCACCCTATTGGGAGAGTCACAGTTGGGAATATGTGCTTGCAGGGCAGTGATGGAAGCCACATATACATGAGTCATGTGACCCCCTTCCTCATTGCCAAGTGTTTTGAAATGCCAGGTGCAGCTGGAATTACTGTGGAAAAAGGAGAAGGGCAAAGCTTTGCATTTAGATGTGCAGTAGGGATGATCTGAGAATGCCCCTAGACTTGGGGAGCAAAGCCAGGGAGAAGCATAGGGAAGTTAGTCTCAGGAAACTTGAGGTCTCTCTGAGCATCTGTGGACCCTTTAATTGGGTTTCAAAGTCAATTTTTTAAAAAATGAATTCTATATGCATAATTGGGATTCAAAGAAAAATTGATAAACACATAATAGAAAGAGATGGAAAAAATAAAAACAGTGTTACAAATATACAATATGCTCCGCTGAATCTCCATCATCAATTTTAGTCTAGTAATTTGTTGGACTCCCAGGCATTACATTAGATGTGAAGCTATCTTAAGTTCAGAGAAGCCTGGGTACAGTGGTTCACACCTGTAGTCTCAGCTACTCGGGAGGCTGAGGTGGAAGATCACTTGAACCCAGTAGTTTGAGACCAGCCTGGGCAACATAGTGAGACCCTGTATCTAAATGAAATAATAATAAAAAAAAGCTAGGCATGGTGGTGTGTGTGGCTGAAGTCCCAGCTACTTGGGAGGCTAAGGCAGAGAATCATTTGATCCCAGCAGTGCATAACTGCGTTCCAGCCTGCGTGACAAAGAGAGACCTGTTTCACACACAAAAATAAATAAAAATAAAAAATTAG